TTGCAACCTTGACAGGTTACCACCAAGCGATATTGTACAACAGTGCAAAGCTAGCATACAAAAATAACAAACAAAAAGGACCCTCTTTAGCATGAAGAGATTAGTTTGTACATATTACTTGTGAGATCCTATTAAGACGCAGCATATCTCTTTTTCTCTTGAACACAATTTCTGAGCTCAGTCCCAAAAGGCCCAAAACGTCATACGCCCAGCAACAAACAGCACTGTAAAAGTTGGAAATGATAGTACGGTAGTTAACACATTTCTTGAATTGAGCATGGTTATTAAAAGAGCTGGGGAAAAGAGACTATGGGAGATAATTCAAAAGTGATGACCGTTTGAGTTATGGTCGAAACGTCGTGAGAATTTTTATTGTTTTATATATATTTTGTTATTTTGTTGTTTCTCTTCAACGTGACTTTACCGAAAAAACTAAGAATAAGCAGAGAGGTGTTGTGAGCTGCAGCATAGCGAGTCAGTGGATGAGTGGACAGGTGAATGGGTGAGCGAGTAAGTGTATTGTTGTGACCCTGCTTGGTGGCGGTTGAACACGGCGTGGAGGAGTTGAAAGAGTCAGTCTGGTAGACCAAGCCCTCAACATGGGTGGAGGAAGCAATGAGTGACGTTCATGGGAATGGTAATCGTGGTAGTAGTGATAGAAGAGTGATAAGGAGGCGACTGACTGGTGAGCGAGTGACTGGAGTGAATCGATGAGTGCACGATCATCAACTGACTGCTTTACGTTGAAGTATATCAAGGGTTGGTGGTGGTGGTGTCAATAATATTTGACATTTGGCTACCTTTGTCTCTCCAGTGCTAACCTTCACAACTACACCACAACAAACACTGCTAATTTTAGGTTCAAGTGTTCTAGGTCAAGCTCGAATACCAGCTGGCACCGGCAGTGTGCGAGAGTAGGCAGCAATTTATCTCGATTTGCTGTGGTCTTAAGTGTACCCTATACACGTTAACAATCACAGCGTTAACCACTCACACCACGGGCCAAACGGACAGACAACATTCCAGCAATTTTGAAATCGATCATTTTACAATCCGAAATGTAATGCAACTTGTATGCTTATGCTACTGCTTTGCATTAAGGCGTCCACCAGAGGTCACTTTTCAGAGGTCACTCTGGAGGGAATTTGGCCTACTCTTCCTAGCTGGCCAGAAATATTGTTATCGTACTTTTTTTATGAAAACACGACACTTCTAAACAAATCTGGCCATGTCTCGCACCCCAGGTTAAGAACCACTGCTCTAAAGGGTAAATTGTACCATATCGCAATGAGAAAATTCATTAAAGTACACTCGCGTATACCGTAATTATTAAACACGAAACTATGACCAAGAGGCTACAGTTAAATTAGGCAGTGTGCTAAGAAAGCATCCAACCACAGGACCATTATCGACTGTAGCTAATTCCTCGAGTAGGTAAGGCCCAATTATTTTATATTGGTTTCAAACAACCAAAATGAGCACGCGACCATGATCCAACAACAACGGATTGTCAAGGATCAGTTAATTATAATTAAGTGACATAAGAAGTACATTTTACAGTCTCGACATCAGCCAAGGTCAATCCACTGCCGGATGAAAGGCCTCCACTCTCCGCAACCATCTCTCATGAGTGGTGAAACTATTCCATTGTTAATACAAAAATGAGAGTACAGTGCATTAATTAGAATAGTAATTACGTAAGGCACAGAGGAGGCCCATGTGAAACCAAGAATCGTACATTCTCCTACAAATGGAGCAGCTGTCCACAAAACGGCAGTACCAATTTCACCGTGAAATTCATGTTACACGTAAAAAAAGAACCACAACCGCTTTCCATAACAATATCCCAGTGGGTCACTTAAGCGGTGTTATGCAACTGGCCACAGGCAACTGGTCCCACTGGGATGAATTTAAGTCATTACGAGCCCATTTAGTAACGTGAACCCACTAAAGCCAGCAATTTGCTGCTCAAATTCCACAACTTTCAAGTTCATCACTTCCCTCCCTACCTCCAACATCACACGTGTTATTCGCTCCACCCGACCCGTTGACCCCCAAACCCCGAATACGCTCGGGCATTCAACTGTTGCTGTATTCTCTGGATTATTCAGACTTTCCGGTTAGGCACACCCCCAATTTGTGCCCAGTATGAATAAAGTTAAAACAAATCTCGTCTCACGCACGTTCCATATCGTAAGACGCAACCCCAACATTTACTTTAAAACACAGGGGGTAAAAATTAGTCGTATAACCAAAAGACGACTGAAAAAGGCTCTTAAGCTTACAATACACGTGTACTCTACAGCATATTGAATTCTGCATGCGAGCATAATTTGTGACTTATGCAAATTCGTCTTCCCAGAATTGAAATATCAATCGGCATCATGATGCAGAAAAGAAATTACAAAACACATGACAATACTGTATTTCTCCTTTATATATCCGCCTCTTCACGTAATTATTTTTCTTTATCTTAACGCATCAGCCTTCCAGGTGTGCATAATTTCAGCAGCACGATTCCACGTCACTGAATCGACTAGTGGCCTGGAATTGTGATCATTGAATAAACAGTGGTAGCTGTGTGATGACTTGTTACACACCATCCCTGACACTATCACAGCTTAGAACTCACTGGCAAGCCCATGCAAGGCCATAGAGGAACTCAACGTGCATCCCGAAACCTCACACCATCACACACGAGTCAGAATTCGCCGTGGCAAATGCCTCGCAAAGTCTCAGTTGTGCCTCTCTATTATTATATTCGTACAAAATAACCTGTTCGCAAGCTACATAACCAGTTTCCCTGATAAGTCTCTGTTTTCCAGAACGGTTGCCCACGTAAGGTGCAAAAAAGAAATTCAACATCCACACAACAACAGCCATTCGACACCAAGTGCCGGTAACGTCACCACGGCGCTTGTGCCAGGCTATGTGCACGTTGAAGCCACGTGAAGTGTCGGACGCCCACTGGCAGGAGGTCACGGGCAGACCCAGGTGCCACGGGTCGACTGACCGAGATGACTGGCCGATGTACCACACACACATATATACACAGGCGCAAGCTGTGACTCCCATCTCGTCTCCTGCCGCTGCAAAGTTCGCCATATCGGCGTAGCACCATGCACCGGCGAGTACGACTCTCTTATTTAAATGTTTTGTACCATTAACAGTATTTATAATTCATCTTAATCATCCGTATTATTGTTCCAATGTTGGTCGCCGGTGGTAAATTGCGATTTTCGGGAACACATCTCCATAGGGCCTCTGTGCCGTAATGACCCCGTATAGCGCCGATTCACACAGCGCTCTCGTTTCCAGGCACGCGCGTTAAACGGGGTTACGTGCGTGGACAAGCAACGAGAGAGAAACATCCGTGCCACCTTCAGTGGCCGATCCAAACCACTCTCGGCCGTGGTTCTGTACAAGCAATCGTTAGGCCCACGTTGCCCTCCCCATGGGTTTGCAGGGACGGGGAACCTTTTTTTCTGCCATTTAGATATTTATATAACATCGTTCGCGGTGCCATGCAAAATGATCAACTTAAAAATTAGCCTTGTTATAATCGGTCAAACATATTAATCAACGCAACCTTAACGCGACGGGCTGGAATTGCTTCTCTTTGGCGAGGCGTGCGATGGATGTTATCCGGCTATTGACGATGTTAGCTGGTATTGATGATGTTAGCTGGTATTGATGATGTTAGCTGGTATTGACGATGTTAGCTAGTATTGACGATGTTAGCTGGTATTGATGATGTTAGCTGGTATTGATGATAGTTAGCCGGCTATTGACGATGTTGCTTGCCACTCGCTACTCTCGCAACTGCTTAATTCCAGGTTTGCTCTCCCAGATTCGTTGAATTTCGAGTCCCGCCTGCGGGTTTGCCTCGGCAGGGCCAGCTGCTGCTATAGCACAGTGCTATATCCACAGTGGGGTTCCCCGGCATGTTTAAGAGAGGAGGCCACATCCGCAAATCGTGAGTCGGTGCTCTCCCCACGTGCTGTTCAAGCAACCCGCGGACAGTTTCTTGAAACCGGTAGCAAATTCCTCGTTGTGTTTTTTTTGCTCCCACCCCCCTCTCTCTCTCTCTCTGGGCACATGCGAAGAGCCTCTTTTACTTATCGGGTCGTCGTCGTTACGGCTTAAATTGACGTGGTTAAGAGGCATTTGTTTTTGGGAGGGGGGTGTGTGTGTGTGTGGATTACCGACGTAAGGCACAGGGACTGCCACTAGGAAGAGGCACACACACACACGTAATAATGGTGTTATTATTGTATGATCAAAAATTGTGGGGGGGGGGGATAGCAAAATAAGGGGAGGCGCAGCGTGCCCGAATAATTCCGGCTGACATGGAGCGAATATGTTCAAGCCGACGTCGTGATTAAAAGTGTACAGACGCAACACTCGACTGACAGTCCTGTACATTAATTATAATAACACGGAATAACCATCTTTACCCCTCTCCTAATTATCACAGTGAACCGCCTGTACAGTACTGCGAAATACACGTCGAACATCACACACCGACGGTAACGACTCGACAAATTCACAACACCGCCCACCGCTAACCAGCACTCACCATTCTCACCGCCACACTCACCTCCACACTCACCATTCTCACCTCCACACTCACCATTCTCACCTCCACACTCACCATTCTCACCGCCACACTCACCATTCTCACCTCCACACTCACCATTCTCCCCTCCACACTCACCATTCTCACCTCCACACTCACCATTCTCACCGCCACACTCACCATTCTCACCGCCACACTCACCATTCTCACCTCCACACTCACCATTCTCACCGCCACACTCACCATTCTCACCGCCACACTCACCATTCTCACCTCCACACTCACCATTCTCACCGCCACACTCACCATTCTCACCGCCACACTCTCACGCCACACTCTCACGCCACTCTCACCGCCACACTCACCGCCACACTCACCGCCACACTCACCCCCACACTCACCATTCCCACTACACACTCACCGCCAGAACGCAGTGCCGCAACTGCCTCACCAACAGCGGCGGCCTCCTCCTTTTATAAACACGGCCCGGTGTGGGGGTGGGGGGGTGTACAAGGGGCGGGATTACTTTTCTCACCGCGCAGGCGCACGAGGCACTACTTTTTGTTGCATTGCTTTATCGTTGCGGGGAGAAACGACTGCAGTCCGCCCCGCCCCCCACCACCCGCGGAGCGTGCTGCGGGTGTGAGTCGCCTGAGCGGCGCCGGGCAGTAGCCGGGGATGTCAACCGTATAAAATTAAAAATATATATAACTTTAAAAAAATATATATACACTTAAAGTAAACATCTGTACATGTATAGCACATTGGACTTTTTTTTTATTATTCATGCAAATTGCAATGTATTTCTTTGAAGATGTCTAAAATAAGTACGTTAAAAGTAGCAAGGGTCGAAGTATCTATGGCAGGGACGAGCGGTCAGGGGAGGCAGAGCCTCAGCTGTTATACTCCAATGAAAATAGCTGTTACGAATTAAAAAAAAATATTAAGATTTTTTCCAATGATCTGTGTTATGAATGTCATTTCTGTACGATTCCAATATTTTTTTATCGTCAAAATCGCCAAATTTGCGGAGCTCCGCTGCAAATACAGGAAGAGACCAGAGGTGAGGCAGCGACGCGCTCTGCCTCCCCTCTGATTGCGCAACCCCTCAGTAACAGGATGGAGCGCGGGCAATAAGCGCGAACCTATAATAATAGGGTTTTCCCCCTTTTTTCTGACAACAAAACTGAAACCTTTTTTTACAAGGATTCATGTTACTGCATTAACCACAATACCTGCAGTCAAAATGCAAACAAAAAACATACTATGATAATATATGCATTGTCCTTGAAACCGATTGGTCCACACCAAGGGACGGCTTTCTTTTGAGCTACACAGCGCACAAGAGATATTGACATGATGGCGTGTTCTTTAAATGTCTCTTGTTAAAGCATTCATGTTTTTATCCTTAGTTGGAAAGTGTAACAAAAAAATACTTGGCAATCGCAAAGTGCTGCGCCCTCTGCTGGACTTAACACGCAACGTTGCCTATGCAGTAAGAGGGAAGCTTGTTTCACGCTCCTGGACTGCGTTATTCAAGGGGCCAGAGCAGAAATCGGGGCCACCTAGTGGCACAGCATTAGTATCACCGATTCATTTACACGAATAATTTCAAGTGACTATCACACAATTTTACTGTTCTCGGCCACGTCAATAAATCGGAACCGCGGAAGTTAAGCCACCTCAGTTGGTACCAACAAGTGCAACATCTGGTCTCGTTGCGCCTTTTGGCGTCATCTGGTCGAGCACCAAATTGGGTCGAGGCTCAAAAGAAAGTCGTCCCTTGGTGTGGACCAATCAGTTTCAAGGACAATGCATATATTATCATAGTATGTTTTTTTTGTTTGCATTTTGACTGCAGGCATTGTGATTAATGCAGACATGAATCCTTGTAAAAAAAAGGTTTCAGTTTTGTTGCCAGAAAAAAGGGGGAAAACCCTATTATTACATTTTGGTACTGGCAAAGGAAGTCTAATGATGTAGATGCTCACCCCGAGCCCTCATTACTTTGATAGTGGCGTTGTCTTTGAGCTGTACGCCTTTTGGCGTCATCTGGTCGAGCACCAATTGGGTCGAGGCTCAAAAGAAAGCCGTCCCTTGGTGTGGACCAATCAGTTTCAAGGACAATGCATATATTATCACAGTATGTTTTTTGTTTGAATTTTGACTGCAGGGATTGTGGTTAATGCAGTAACATGAATCCTTGTAAAAAGGTTTCAGTTTTGTTGCCAGAAAAAAAGAGGAAAAACCCTATTATTACATTTTGGTACTGGCAATAGAGGTCTAATGAAGCACGTGCCTGTTACTATCTCAGTATGTCACCAATGTAATGTTTTTAGACCCCTTCATTTAATGTCCTCGCCTTCCATACTCCAGGTAACTTATTTCACGTATGTGTATAAAGATATTTAGGCTCGCTGGTCTCGTCGTGAAACTGCAATGAAAACAGCACCAGGGGAGGCAGCTATCACACCTGCCTCACTGAGGGGGACGTGTCTAACACGCCCCCCTCAGTGAGGACACGCCCCCCTCAGTGTGTGAATCTGGCTCTGACACTAGCCAGTGCCTCCCCAGCCATTGACCTCACCGCACGTCACTGATCTACAAATATAAGTAACCTGAATAAAACTACTTTAAAATAAAAAAGTTCAGTATAGTAGTGGAGAGATGGAGTGACTAGAGTGACTCTACCTCTGTGGCCAATGAAGAAGGATCATTGCGAACGTCGCCCATTAGATTTGGAGTTTGCGTGCCTCTGTGTGGTCGCGTGGATTTTTCTCCGGGTCCTCCGGTTTTCCCCTCCACATTCAGTATCGACATCACGCGTTTTAGAGTATTTGGCTGCTCTACATTGTCGACACGATGATGTTAAGCCACTTCGTTGAGCTATCATTTGTGATTGCCGGGTAGCTTCTGGAAAAGAGCTATACAGCTAAGTGGGCCGTACCTGGTAAAATAAAATGTTTATAAGTTTAGTTTTTGACGAACATGTTTAGTTATGTTTTTTTTAATCCATACACCACTGTCAACGCAGTCACAAAATAGCATATTTATGCTAGAGGAATCCGATGAGCTATCAAGCTCTTTTTCACAGATGTCCAGTTGCTGTAGGTCAGAAGTAATCTTTAATCAATGGCATTGACCCATTCAGTCCTGCAAATGCAGCTGGGGATGTCACGGCTGGTTCCTAAAGCGCCAAGTCAGCTGATGCAGCGCCACTCGATTTCCGAGCTCACTGCCTGAAACTCGAAGCAGTTTGAGCAAAACATCGTGGTAGGCCCTCGTTAAATTCAGCATTGAAAAGCCTGAAGGCACCCGTAAGAGGAGCTTTAGCGGTCTGAATTGTATCCGATACATTGGCCACGCACGAATAATAAAACATCTTTGTAAATGTGACAATCCTTGTCGGGTAGGTGGGAAAACAATATATTTTTTTACATATAAAATACCACGTGGCCTGACCAGAAAAAACGCATGGATCAGTGGTAATCCATGTCTGGTGAAAAACTCACGGAGCCGGAAGGCTTCTGGATATTTTTAGGCAAGCCTCGTTAATTTGGCCAGTATTCTACAGAATAAGTCCCTCAAGGCAACATACATTTAGGGGCCGTCCATAAATGACGCCACGCACCTAGGGGGGGGGGGGGGGTCAGACATTTGTGACGATGTGACGAGGGGGGGGGGGGTTGAGAAATGTGACGTCACATCAAAATGCACAACTTTAAATATAGACAACACGTTCTATTTAATTAAGACTATTTAATAAATGTTTTCTCCTACATCAGAGTGCAGCGCCACATTAAATACACACTACAATGACAATAGTTTAAAGCGATTTGAAGCATTTTTATATATTTTTTTGGGGGGGGGGGCAGAGCTTTGTGACATCATATTTGAAGGGGGGGGGGTCAAAAATCGTCCAAAATCGTGTGACGTCATTTATGGAACATTTCCATGAGTTTTAACGTGCCACGACGAATCTGTCAAAATGCCTGTGGACCACGTGCTTTCTCATTTGCTCGACCCATCTTCTGAAACTCTCAAAATTCAAACGGTGACCTTACAGCTACACAGCGCACAAGAGATATTGACATGATGGTGTGTTCTTTAAATGTCTCTTGTTATAGCATTCATGTTTTTATCCTTAGTTGGAAAGTGTAACAAAAAAAATACTTGGCAATCGCAAAGTGCTGCGCCCTCTGCTGGACTTAACACGCAACGTTGCCTATGCAGTAAGAGGGAAGCTTGTTTCACGCTCCTGGACTGCGTTATTCAAGGGGCCAGAGCAGAAATCGGTGCCACTTAGTGGCACAGCATTAGTATCACCGATTAATTTACATGAATAATTTCAAGTGACGATCACACAATTTCCCGTTCTCGGCCACATAAATAAATCAGAACCGCGGAAGTTAAGCCACCTCAGGTGGTACCGACAAGTGCAACATCTGGTCTCGTTGTGGCCCAGTCTCTGCTTCTGTGCTAACGACTCCCTGTTGATGGCATAGATGGCTGAGGAAAGTGAATTTCAGACTAAGTTGGCAGTAAAAGGGTATAAAAAAGACAAGAGGTCACGGGGACACGAGATACATTTTTTATTAGGAGCGAGTGTTCCAAAAATGTTCTGAAACACCACAATCCAGACTTGACAGCAAGGATCGTCAAACACCATTCATTGCGCTCACAGCTTTCCAAGGTTTACCAAAATCGACCAATACATGCAATGCACATCAGTCTCCAATTTGCATCTTGAGAAGTTAGGTAAACTTGAAAGGCCATATCTAAGATGAATGGGGTTTGACTTCTGGTGATATTGAAATGACCCAGAGATAATAGCATCTGTGTACACCCCTCGGTCTTGGGGTCTAAGGGGATAAGTGAACAGGCATATCTGTCCCTGTGTCTCTACTTTACTCCAGCTCCCTGTGTCAGTCTGCCCCATGTCTCCGGACTCACAATCAGAAACTTGATTTTTTCCTGGAGGAATCCGATGAGTCATGAAGCTCTTTTTAAATATGTCCAGTAGGGGCAGGTCAGAAAGTTACAATACAAAAAATGTGTCCAAGGGTCTGTCCACCTTTCTCTCGGTGTCTTTGTGATCCTACGGTCCTGTCTTTAAACATTGCTCCGTGTTCCCCCTTTGTGTCCCCGTCTGCCTACCCCCCCCCCACCCGCCGTGTAACCGTGTCTGTCCTCCTCGTGTCTCCATGTATGTATATTGAACTTCTTTCGCACCGTACATAACCAACTGTGTTTCTCGGTCCTGCCCTTGTCAACATGTCTCTGAGTTCTCCCTGTGTTTCCGTGTCTCTTTGTGCCCCCCCCCCCCCATGTCTCTATATATCTCTGCCACCCCCCCCCCCCCACCACCGTATCGATATGCGTCAGGACAAATCTCAGCGCGACGAGGACGCTTGTCGAGGGCCCTGCGTCTCCATTTCCATCTCGTACTCGATGTCAACGTGCGGTCGCTTGAGACGCATCATCCCCTCGCTCTTTCCTCGAGACGTTGTCGCCACCTCCTCACCCTCCTTTTCCACCTCATCCAGTCGATCCATCTCCTGTGGAAGATGTAGCCTCTCTTGAGTTATGTTGTTTTTACACGCTTTTTATTAACTCACTGTCTGTTGTTGTCTCCTCCAATCTTGTAACTCAATTTTAACCCACTTCCCAATGTGGTATCGACTGCAAACTTGGTATACTTATGTCATACTGATGACAATAATATATTCTATCATAAAACATATATATTTTTAAACATTATTTTTTACGTGTTATGTTTCGGCTTGGGGCTAATTGTCCACGCTCAACTGACGTTGGCTGTAAATCACCACGGTCCCTTGCGTTATGGCAAGCTTCGGGGCCACTTCGTGGAGTTCTGCCATTACCAGTAGGGAACATTTCATTAAAGCGTGTTTTTAAAAAGTTTTTTGTTAAATATTACTTATTATTTATACTCCAGTCGCCAAACTGTTCCATCATACATGGCCTAGCCCAGGAGTGAGGAACCGGTTCCTTACTAAGGGCCAAATAAGACTAGAGGGTTCTTCAAGCAGTGGCCAGTGGGACAAATGGTCTTGCAGTGGCCCATCGAGCTATGATAATAATTCTGCAATAAAAAAAATGTATACAATATATCACAGATATAAATGACCGTGACTCTGAGGCACGGAGCTGAGCTAAGTGTTACTTGAAAGGCAGGCGAAAGATATGGGGCATTCAAGTGCCTTTTAAAAGTGTGCATAGATCAGTGATTGAATGCTGTGAATGTGCAACGGGATGGGTTTCTCCATGGCAGGGGGCAGCCATGGAGAAATGAGGCCTAGCAGTGATGATCCTGCCTGATCCTTAGTATAGAGAGGAGAACGTGAGTCGTGCATAGCAAGATGAGAGATGAATGGTGAGAGAGCTGCAGACAAGTAAAGAGGAGTGGGTCACATGTCCAGTTATTATGAAGTTTGCACAGCCATGCGACGTCGTAACGTTTGTACACACGATGCCATGATATCACGTGGCCAACTACACGCCAACCATATTGTGGCCTGCCAGAAAAAGGTTGATTAACTCTAAGTGTACTGCTCGTGTGACAGAGGCGTGCATGTGTGATTCGGAGTATTTGGCTGCTATACATTCCCAAATAATAAGCCACTTCGTCGAGCTATCATTTGTGGCCAGGCCGCTTCTGAAGAAGAGCCACATAGTTCAGTGGGCCTTACCTGGTAGATCAAAAATAGTTTAGTTGAGTTTGATGATGTATTTGCGGTACATGTATGATGATAGTTGTACTGCACGTGTGACGGAGACATGCGTGTGTGATACATGACCGATGAAGGGCGATTCACCTCAAAGTCACTCAAGTCGCTCTCCTCAAAGTTTTCCCCAACAACGTATTCCACTTCCCTTTCGCCTTCCTGCATTTACAGACATAACCACCATGAGCAACCATCATCATCAATTAGAATCATCATCTCAACAGCGTCATCATAATTTTTCATACTTTGTTTCCACATCGCAATGTGTTGCTGATTTTATGTAAATAATTTAACCCAGGTTTCCCTTTATAAACTCCTGTGGTCTTTTGCATTAATTGCGAGTCTATGCAAGTCTAAGTCAGTGTATCTCTATATTAAGTTTATAGGGCTTTGCAAGTACATACAAGGCTATGGGTCTCTGTAAGTCTATGGGTCTCTGTAAGTCTATGGGTCACTATACAAGCCTGCAGATATCCAGGTATAAAGTATATAACTGGCTGTGTAAGTCTATGGAAGTCTAAACTCTGCCACCTCCCGCTGAGAACACACAGCTGCAATGCCCGACAAGGTCTGTGATCTGTGTGCCGTGTGTGTGCGCGAGGGGACGCTCACCTCTTCGTTTTCCTCCTCCTCGCTCTCCTCGGCGCTGTCGGCATCCTGCTGCTCCATCGCCTTGTCAAACGCGTGCGCGGGGAAGTTGTAGATGTCCCCATACTGCAAGAACAAAGATCCCACAGTGTAGTCTTAACAGACTGTTGGGGCAAGTGCTGTTAGCAAGCACCTGTGCAGGTCAGCATGGCACGGCACACGAGGGGGTCGGTGGCCAACACCACGTCCTGCTGCCTTTGTCATGGCGTTGTTTACACATCGCACCAGGTACTCATGAGGCCGAGCCGACCTAGAGGAGGCCCTTGACCAGTTCAGATAATCGTCACTGGTATTGGCCGTAAGCAGGAATCGAACTCGGGTCGCTGGGTTCGTAGCGCACACAGACACGTTTATATGGTCACGCACACACTAGGTGAATGGTCACGCACACACTAGGTGAATGGTCATCCAAAACAAAGCATCCCCATTTTAGCCTCAACAGACTCTTGGGGAAAGCGCCATTAGCGAGCATCTATGAAGGCTCGCACTGCACACGAAGGGGTGGGTGGCCGGCACCACGCCCGGCTGCCTTTGTCTCTCGAGTGGCAAAGTTTACACATCGCACTAGGTACTCATTGAAGGTTGAGTCGACCTAGGGGAGGCCCTGGTTCAGATATATATTCATCACCGATGTTGGCCCTGGGCAGGAATCGAACTCGGGTCGTTTGATTCTTTGCACAGCGTGCGAACCACTGCTTAACAACAAGCTTCTGGAACTTCGTGTGGAGCTAGAGCTCTTAGGAAGTGTTCAGAGCGAGGATGGGTTTGCTCTTCGAACACGGGGCGTGCAGTAGTCTCGCTGGCGGCTCGACGCCAATTACGATCGAAGTTCTGGCGCAAGGCAAACAGGGTCAAGATCATCCGGGTTAAGGCCACTAATTGACAAGGCATAACCAGTGAATGATTGGCGGAGACTTATGCCCAGCTGATACGTATGGGTGCAGTGTCAAAGCGACTTGAGAATGTGCACTTTGCAGTTGGCTGCCGGAGCCTTTGCATTACCCCAGACGATCGGGGGGGGGAGGAGAAGGTGAAAGTGGCGTGCATGTGCGTGTACGCGCACACGTCACCCCGTACCGTTCCTTGCTTCAACCTCTCCAGCAGCTCCTTCTCGATGGCATTCTCCAGCTGAGCGGCGACCAGGGCCTTTTCCTGTCACAAACAAAGCACCGGGTTATATGTCGGCGTGGTCTCTTCACGAAGTTAATGATGAAAGCTACATCAATGAGCAGGAAGCCAACAATCCTCGTACGTATGCATGTATGTTGAACTTCTTTCGCACCGTACGTAGCCAACAATGCTAATCGGAGGTGCGGAGGAAGGACAACAAACTGAACACAAAAAGCAGTTATAAAGAAATTCGTTTTCAATCTAGATGTAGCCATCCCCACCAGACCACTCGCCCAATCCCTTTCTGCCTCCTTATTCTGCCTCGTTTCACCTCCCGCAGTGTGCAAGAAATTCCAAAACTGTCCCCTCAGAATGTGTCTCCCAGTTAACACCGTGGTTCTCAACTCTTTTTTGGATAATGGCGACCCTCCAACCACGTCGAATGGTTACGAAGGCCGCAATACACAGAGCTCACATCCACGCTTCTGATCAACAACAGTCCTAGTTAAGGAACTTTGTTTCAAGCCGTGCATTAATGCGTTTCGTCCCCTCAACTTGGTGCCCATGTTCCCTGCGAACATTCAAAAGTCCTCCTGCACGGCATCCATGCCACAATCTGCACCCCTTGCCCCCTGTGTACTGAGAACCAAAGGTTTAACAAGGCGTTTCTTACCTCTCTCCTTTTCTCCCTGCGTTCCACCTTCTGACTCAAGGGGACTAGTTTCCTCCTGAAACAGAGCAGAGACACATACACACACACACACAGGGATAGGTCGGGTATCATTGCAAAATGAGTAAAATGTATATTCGTGCAATTCTGATAGCGCGAGGCAATCAACGCAGACACTAAGTTTAACAGAGTCTGCAGGAGTTTTGTAGCAGGGGGCGATATTGCGATTCGCAATTCTAAACCGAGCAACGTGCTGGCAGTATTTTTTTTATTTGGTAAACTTGGGAGTGTGACGCCAGTACACAATTGCCTTCTTGTTTCAAATTAAAACAGGGGGTTCTTTTACGTACAATGTAAAGAAGACGATAATTTTTTTCATGAATTCACCCACAGTAATAACCAGGACGCGCGTTGCCATATTCGAGCCGCAAACCTCTGCAACAAGCGGCGAAGAACGCCGCGGTGGCAAGATGTCATCGTCCTCAACACGTAGGCTTTCGCGACCAATCCATAATATAGGTTTTTGTTGGGTTAGATCGAGTAACTATGTGTCGTTAAACCTGCCACCACCCGACACAGCCAATTAGTCAGGTTTGTCACGTAAACAAAACGTGTTGGCGGGTTTGGACGCTGGTAGGTTTAACGACACATTCATAGTTACGCGACATAACCCCCAAAAATATATATTATGTCATCTTCCTCGCCTGGTATACAGGAGGTCGGGGGGTGTGATCCAGACCCTGACGCCTGCTGTATATTTGGACTGTGGTCACGTGGATTTTTTTCCTCCGGGTCCTCTGGTTTTCCCTCCACATTTAGAAACGTGCGTTTTGATTATCTGGCTGCCATACATTTCCACGTGATAAGCCACTTCGTTGAGCGAATAGCACAGTGGGCTTTACCTGGTAAAAGAAACTAGTAGCGATTTATTTATATATTTTGTGATTTGTTTACCTTCTTATACTTTGCACTCCTAAAATGTTTTTTTTTCTATTGTTTGTTGTTCTAATGTTCTTACCCATCCAGACTGGATATCTGTGAAAAAAAGAGCTTCACAGCTCATCGGATTCCTCCTCTAGTATAAATAAATATTTTGATTCTGAGAACGTGCTACCACTGGCACATGCACGTCACCGCTGGGCCACGTATATCCGCCACGTCGTGCGAAGGGGAGCCCCCCCGAGCCCCCGCTTACGTGCGCTTGAGCGTGAGCTTGCGGATGCGGATGAGGTACTGCGTGATCTTGGTGAGGCGCTGTTTGCACTTGTGCCTCAGGAAGCGAGGCCAGTAGAGCAGCGCCTCGTCGATCTGCTCAAGCGCCCGCTCGTAGCACTTGCTGAGCTTGACCTGCGCGGGCGGGTAAACCGACGGTCACAATGGAGTTGTCCTGTTCGAGCGTGTGGTCCAAATGAGACGGTACGAACTGGACAGAAAATACACGATGAAACGTACGAATGACAAGGACAATGGAAAGGCCCCAGCACCCGAACGCACCTTTTCCCACATGCGGGCAGGGAAGGCAGCTCTTTCGATTACCTTCATGTAAAGGTAGCAAATACCTGCACACACACACACACACGCACATATACACACAAAGACAAAGATCCCCCGTATAGCCTTAACAGACTGTAGGGGCAAGTGCTGTTAGCGAGCACCTATGAAGGCCGGAACGGTACACGAGGGGGTGGGTGGCCAGCACCACGCCCGACCGCCTTTGTCTCCCTAGTGGCAATGTTTACACACCGCACCAGGTACTCATTTGAGGCCGAGTCGACCTAGGGGAGGCCCGGGACCGGTTCAGATAATCGTCACTGGTGTTGGCCGTGAACGGGAATCGAACCCGGGTCGCCAGGTTCATAGCGCAGCGCGCTAACCGCTACGCTACCGCTCCCCACATATACACACACACACAAAGACAAGCAATTTCAATGTAGTCTACGTATACTAACGGGGCAAGTTCTGTGATCAAACGCCTTTTGTTTGTATGTGCAAGCACCACACTAGGTACTCATTTAAGTGATGATAAAATGTTCAGGACAGGTTCCTATGCACCAAGAGATGAACAAGCATGTGTGATGATCAGTGGCAGTGCGGGACTACACATTTGTTTTGGAACGTATCCATACACGTGTACATATGTAAAGGTGTGCGCGCAAGTGTGCTTGTGCGAATATTACCCTTCTCCTCCCGCACCGTTGCGTACTGGCTGTTGGCCAGGGGACACGATGATCTGTTGCACAAGCCCGTCGTGTTGTATTCATTGCGGCAAAAGTTCTGTGTTTTGGTCCTGAAAAAACAAATAACACGCGACCTCTTATTACCTAGTTTCCACGAGCTACAAAAACGAGGGTTTGAACTTCAGTTGCCATCCAGTGTGTTTCCTGAATATAGGCTGCAGAATTGAGGCCGTGTGGAATTATGCAAACATAAATTATACAAATTTCACTATTACGAGAAAAAAAATTGGAGTGTGTGCTGCAACATTTGATTCATCGTGTAATTATTTCGCATTCAACGATTAATTCTGCAACAGCAGTGCCGTCCTAACCTTTGGCTGAGAAAGTTACATTGGGAACGACTTGGCAAACCCGCGTGATAACTCGGCAAAAAACGTCAATTCCGCTTTGCTTTATCTAACTTGAGTGGTCTTTCAGCTGGAGTTCTTGGTCACATCAGGCCAGTTCTGCTAAACTCAAGTCGCCTGTCCCATATAAACAAGATACATTAAAATGTATCGGTCAATCTTCTATGCTCAAGAAGGTGGCTCAAACGCATCTGTTGCCCACCCACCCCCCCACCGGACTGTCTAAAACAGCTGTTCCCAACCCGAGGGTTGTGGCCTACTGATGGTCAACAAGGCCATGGAAAGTGCTCCACGGAACTGGCGCAGATAGAACGACTCAAGAATAGTTTTAATTTTCAAAACTGTAATGGGTGACAGTGATCGGAGCGTCCAGAAAGGTTAGGAAACTGGTAAAGAATTCCCTTTCCCACCCGCCGTCCGCGCTGTCGATTCCCTGCCTCAAGTCCAGTCTCAAGACTATTTCTTACTCTGCCCACGACTGACTGCCTGCCTCTTCCTCGCCCTAAAATAAACGTGCACCGTGTCTGTACCGCAGTGATATGTGGTCGCATCTCGATACTGCACGAACGCAAACCGAATTGTATTGTATTTGAACCCATCTCCGTGACTTTACCGAAAGACGCAAAGAATACGAATTGTGTTTTACAGAAAAGGTGGATTACCCACTCTTGTCTGAAAGGCCCACCCCGCTGTAAAGTGTTGCTTAATGTTAAGTGGGCTTGGCAAGTAAACTTCGCCACGGCTCACGTCAGCGAGCCTGTGATATTTGAACCGGTTCTGGAATCTGCCATGTACCCACCGAACCTCACTAAATCTCACTCACCGACGTGGTAAAGTGCAGCACTGCCTGCTCAAAAACTATCCCGACGCGCAATAAAGGCGTGTGGAGGCCTTCATCCACGAATAAAACGGGCTACGTTTAAATACAACTTACTTGACTTTGAAGGAGCAGAACTGCTTGTTTCCGACAATGTCCCAGATCACCTGCGAGATGAAAACAGCGAGGAAATTAGTCCTATTTTAAAATTAAAGTCGCCAACAAGGCAGACCCGAGGCTGCGAGGCCGAAGCCTACGTGCCTCGCCTGAGCGGCTCTGCCGGGGAAGGCGACCCCATGGTCGGCCAAAGGCACCGCGCCACAACCCCCCCCCACCCCACCCCCGCGCGGTCAGTATTCGACGATGAAATTAAAACTTACGTCGTCGTGCTGCATGGCGGCGAGAAGGACTGAACGCGCGTGTGACTTGTAACGCGACTCTGTGCTTGAGAAAGATAATTTATTTGATTTTATTTCAGTCGCAGAGTGAGTGACGAATTTTCAAGCCTTCTGATCGCGACACGTGCGTGCGGTAGGAACCGGGTGCCGCCCGGAACCGGATCCCGAAAAGGGGCTTCTTGCCTGGGATCCGGTTCCTCGGAGTTTTAGTTTATTTATTTTGGTATAGCCCTGTGGGCCATTCGGCTCTTGAATCGGGTGCAACCACAACAAACAAAAAAACCTAAAAACACGAACAGGAAAAAAACATCTTAAAGTGACTATGTGACTGTGCAAACAGAAAATCCATGAAAAAAATAGCAAAAAATATTCCTGAAAAAAGCACCGTACACCAACGCTGTGTGCAAAAAATCCCAGTGGGATGCAAGTCAAACAACTACAACAACAACTCTGTCCTCCAGACAGTCTCGTCCCTTCACCTGATGAAGGCCGCTTGTGTTGTGGCCGAAACGTCGTGATTTTTTGTTATTTTATTTTCACCTACGTGACTTTACCCAATAGAACCAAAGAGTAACAACAACAACCACAAGACAACTTAGATTAAGGCCATCAGTCTAACTCTGTACTACAACAAAACAAACATGTCCAAACCAAAAAACGTTTTCGAAATCACCAAGAAATAAAGCCATGATTGCAACGTAACAGTGATCACAGGGACTGTGACCGGATTTTTGCAATAAACTACATAAATAACATGTAACACCAAATCCTAGAGCCATAGCTGGCTGCATGAGTTACTCCACAACAACAGAAGCATCGGTCGGAGTATCACATTTTTTTCAATGCACCTTTAAGATCAGCACGCTAAACCAAAATACAGATAATACTTTGCAGCGTCATCCGGAGCGAAACATTTTATTTTATTTTACGCCAATGAAAAGCAGTGGCAGCTAGGGGTGTACAACTCCTCTAGAGCAGTTTTGAGAGAAGATCTCATTGGTAGCGATTCAAGTTGCAGTTTATTGGCAATAGCATTCCAGACTCTGGGGGCATCAATAGCAAAGGCCATTCCTCCAGTTTTTGTACGGCAATAGGGAATGTGAAGCTGGTAAATGAGCGAAGACCTGAGGTCAAATTTGTTCTTTGAAACAGAGAGGAGATCCAGCAGGTAGTCTGCGGATTTTTTTTGTAAGTAGAGAGTTTCCTTTTGTAAGTAGAGAGTTTGCTTTTGTGAACAAAACAATTAATTTAGAATCACACTCTTTGGTTCTTTCGGTGAAGTCACGTAGGTAGAAAAATAAAATAAAACAAAAATAATATATCACGACGTTTCGATCGCAACACAAGTGGTCGTCCTCAGGCGGATAATAATAATAATAATCCAGCAGTGGAACTGCTGAACCAGCGAGAGAGCTGTTACAACAATAATTTAGAATCAGAATATTATACTGGTAGTAACCTCCTGGTTACACCAGCCCACAGGGGATTATTGTGTCCGTCCGTCCGTCGTGCATCCAAAAAAAGGAGGGGTGGGGCTGGGTGAAGACGGGAGAGTGGGGAGGGGCTGGGTGGGGAGGGAGGGGCTGGGTGGGAGGTGGGGCTGGGTGGGGAGGGGCTGGTCACCCCGTGGTGCCCTTATAAAACTCAACGTTTAACCTACTCACGCCGGCTTGTGCCTGCCCTCACAGTCAGGCATATTTGCGGAATACACCACGTGGTGCCGCCGTTGACCCTGGCCATTGAACGAGCAACCCAACGTTCCTACCAGCTCCCTCCGCAGTAATGTGTTTATAAATACGATGTATGAAGAAATAAGAATATTTTTTTGTTTGCCTAGTCTGGCAATAAAGCAGGCGTTCAGATGTTCAAACACCAAATCGATACCTTTTGCAAGGAATGATGTCCATACCTGTCAACCCCCTTTATCAGTCCACAGAGGGTGTTTTTTGGGCTTAGATCACGTAGATATATAAATGTGTCGTTCAACCCGCCACCATTCGACACAGTCAATCAGTAAGGTTTGTCACGTAAACAGAACCAATCGTTACGAGTACAGCAGCGACACCGGTGTTTTGGAGAGCCAAGCCATAACTTGTACAATCTGAGTACGACGTTTCGCCAGTAATTAAAACCGGCATCATCAGGCGATGTATTAAAACATAAGAATAGGCCTTTTTTTAGCCTAGTCTGGCAATAAAGCGGGCGTTAAGATGTTCAAGCACCAAATTGATACCTTTTGCAAGGAACCAAGTCCATACCTGTCAATCGCTGTATCAGTGCCCTACCTTATTACTGACCAATTTAGATCCTTATACTGGTAGGAACCTCCTGGTTACACCAGCCCACAGGGGATTATTGTGTCCGTCTGTCGTGCATCCAAAAATGGGAGGGGTGGGGCTGGGTGGACAGGGAAGGGTGGGGAAGGAGGGGCTGGGTGGGGATGGGAGGGTGGGGCTGGGTGGGGAGTTTCTGGGTGGGGAAGGGCTGGGTGGGGAGTGTGGGAGGGGCTGGGTGGGGAGGGTGGGGAGGGGCTGGGTGGGGAGGGTGGGGAAGGGCTGGGTGAGGAGTGTGGGGAGAGGCTGGGGTGGGGAGGGTGGGGAGGGGCTGGGTGAGGAGGGTGGGGCTGGGTGGGGGGTCTGGCTGGGTGGGGAGGGGCTGGTCACCCCGTTGTGCCCTTATAAAACTCAACGTTTAACCTACTCATTCCGGCTTGTGCCCACCCTCACAGTCGGGCATATTTGCGAAATACACCACGTGGTGCCGCCGCTGACCCTGGTTATTGACCGAGCAACCCAACGTACCTACCAGCTCCCTCCGCAGGAATGTGTTTGGTCACCCCGTGCCCTTATACATCTCAACGTTCATCCTACAAAGTCACATCACAAGGGAGAAAGACAAACAAATAAACAAAAAATGTTTTAAATTTTGATTTAAAGCTTTCGTGACTGCAGTGATTCATATTCTTGCTTCTTTCGGTAAAAAAATGTTTTGCCCGTATTGAAACGGCTGTACGCCATATGGGCCTGAAAACTCCCTGCACAAGAATACGAGTAACCCGTATGAATTCACAAGTATGCAAGTCTGCATTAACCACACAGAGGACTTGTGGTGAACATGCAAACATGCTATGATAATATATTGTCTTTAAACTGATGAACTTACACCAGAGACGACATCCTTGTGTCAGAGCAGAGAACAACGCCTAAATGCGACCAGCACAAAAACAATGCACGTGCCAGAGCATTTGTAGCTCGGAGTGAGCCGCTATATCATGAGGACCTGTTTGCCAGTTATCAAAGTATGAAAAGGCAAGGATAGGTTTCTATCTTTTCTGCCAATAAAACAGGTGTGAATCAGGGACGTGTGCCTCCCCTGCCTCTATTGTCACCTGTCATACTCCAATGAAAATAGCTGTTACGAAAAGTAAAAAAAAGAATAATCAAATATAATGAATATTAATATTTTCCCACTGATCTGTGTTATAAATGTAATTTCTGTACGATTCCAATCATTTTTATCGTCAAAATCGCCAAATTTGCGCAGCTCCGCTGCAAATACAGGAAAAGACGAGAGGTGAGGCAGCGACGCACTCAGCCTCCCCTCTGATTGCGCAACCCCTCAGTAACTGGATGGAGCGCGGGCAATAAGAGCGTGCCTGTTACTATCTCAGTATGTCACCAATGTAATGTTTTTAGACCCCTTCATTTCACGTCCTCGCCTTCCATACTCCAGGTAACTTATGTCACGTATGTGCATAAAGATATTTAGGCTCGCTGGTCTCGTCATGAAACTGCAATGAAAAAGCACCAGGGGAGGCAGCTATCACATCTGCCTCACTGAGGGGGACGTGTCTAACACGCCCCCCTCAGTGAGGCCACGCCCCCTCCGTGAGGCCACGCCCCCCGCAGTGTGTGAATCTGGCTCTGACACTCGCCAGTGCCTCCCCAGCCATTGACCTCACCGCACGTCACTGGTGTGAATATGTCCAAACATCAAACAGAACATTTTTCAAGGAATAATGTTTGCATTAACCACACAGCGTACTTGTAGTGAACATGCAAACAAACTCTGATAGTATATGCATTTCGATTTAAAGCTTTCGTGACTGCAATGATTCATCTTCTTTGGTTCTTTCGGTAAAGTCACGTAGAATGAGAATAAAATAATAAATTGATAAAATAAAATAACACAATAATATTCTCACGACGTTTCGGCCACAACACAAGCGGCCTTCATCAGGTGAAGGGAGCGAGACTGTCTGGTAGGACAGCGCTGGAGTGAGAGAGCCATGTTCCTCTCACACAGCTTAAAAGCCGTGATCTGAACGTGGCTCTCTCACTCCAGCGCTGTCCTACCAGACAGTCTCGCTCCCTTCACCTGATGAAGGCCGCTTGTGTTGTGGCCGAAACGTCGTGAGAATATTATTGTGTTATTTTATTTTATCAATTTATTATTTTATTCTCATTCTACGTGACTTTACCGAAAGAACCAAAGAAGGAGTATATGCATTGTCTTTGAAACTGATCTACACCAGAGATTACAGCCTTGTTTTTTATGGCCTTGCCCCACGACCAGTGTCAGACCAGAGATCAACGCCAAAAGGTGAACAGCACAAAGACAATGCTCGTGTCAGAGCATTTATATATCGGGTGAGCAGCTATAGCATGGGATACGTTTTTGCAACTATAAAAGTACGAAAAATAATTGATCCTTGAAAAAGGTATCTATTTGGTGGTTGAACATCTTAACACCTTTTTTTATTGCCAGAAAGGGTAAAATATATATTCTTATTCTTCATAGTTTGATACTGGCAAAAAAGGTCCCATGATATGGCTTATTTATACGATGTTACAATAACGACGATTGTCGCGATATCGGTTAACCCGTTATATTGTACAAATTTAATTTCACATCTTTTTTAATTGTGCTTTGCGATTCGTACGGTAAGAAGTACGGACGAATATGAATTAAGCGTTTGTTGATGGAGGATATACATAACAAGATCAACAAAAGTGGACAATAAATGCGTATAGGGGACACTGCGATGTCGGAATGTTAACTTTCTCGCCTGGTATGCAAGGAGGGCGTATAGGTTCGACCCCTGACGCCTGCTGTATATTTGGAGTTTTGCGTGTTTCTCTCCCCTTGGTCGCGTGGATTTTTCTCCGAGTCCTCTGGTTTTTCGCC